TTTCGTGTTTTTCCTGGGATATATATATATATTTTTCCCTCGTTCGTTATCGTACTTCATATTTTCATCATGGCTGAACAGACACCCAAAGTACTCAAGCTTAAGACTTTGTCCCCGCCTTCGTTTCAACTCATGCCTTTCTGGCCCGACAATATCGAAGCCTGGTTCTGCTACGCAGAAGCTGATTTCTCCGAGCACGGCGTGATCGACACACGTGCACAATTCCTCGCAGTAGTCAAGGCACTACCGCGCGAATTCAACAGGTACGTAACACCTAGTATGTTTACTAGTGATGTTTCCGAACCTTACGAAATCCTTAAACGTTCGATTCTTAAACGAGGAGACCTAACCGATCGACAAAGGTTAGATCAACTCTTCAATAACATCGACCTGCAACACGGTTCTGCGACTGACATGTTGCAAAGAATGAGAGAAGTGATAGGCCTAAGGACTTTCGACGAAGGTCTATTTAAACAACTTTTCTTATCTAAACTTCCTCAACAGGTGCAAGCGGTTCTGGTCTCATTTCAGAACAACGCCTTAGACGAGCTAGCTGCATCTGCCGATCGTATTTTAGAAATAACGAAATCGTCTACTTCAGAGGTATTTTCCGTCAAAGAAAAGCCTCACGCGACTCAGAATGACATAACCGAGTTATGTCATACACTCACGCGTTATCTTAATCTTCGTAACGACCGTAGTCGCTCACGCAGTCCACGTAGAAGCATTTCGCGTAAACGATCTGTCTCTAGACCACGAGAGACAGATAACCCTGACTGGTGCTGGTATCATAACCAGTATGGGAAATCTTCCAGAAATTGCAGAAAACCCTGCAATTTTCCCAACACGAAAACGACTGATTCGAAAAACAATTCGGGAAACTTCCAAGCCGGCACGCGTTAACGGCAACCGTAGCCGGCGAACATAGCCGTCTGTTGTACGTCACAGATGTGACAACGAGAGTTCGCTACCTCGTCGACACTGGCGCAGAAGTTAGCGTTCTCCCAGCAAATCTTAACGACCGGCTCCACGAATCAACTCTAAACTTACAGGCGGCAAATGGAAAACCAATCGCCACGTATGGCAAAAGGTACGTCTACCTTAACGTGGGTTTACGCAAACCCATTCATTGGATTTTCGTTGTTGCAGATGTTTCTATGCCAATCATTGGTATGGATCTTCTACAACATCATAATCTAATCATCGACACGCGCAAACGGAGGCTAGTAGATGGAAACACTAAATTATCCGTTTGCGTAACTTCTTTTTCTGGTTGTAGATTATCCCCAGTCACAGTTAAGCATATGATAGACCCACTCTATCAACCACTACTCGACAAGTACCCTGGGATACAACAAGCTCAAACGAAACTACCGTGTGTAACCAGCAATGTTACACATCACATCACGACTACAGGACCACCTGTATTCTCTAAAGCACGACGACTAGCTCCGGAAAAGCTGAGGTTAGCGAAAAACGAATTCGATCATATGATAGACTTAGGAATCATACGACCGTCAAACAGCCCTTATGCATCTCCGTTGCACATGGTCCCTAAAAAGGACAGCAACGATTGGCGTCCGACTGGTGACTATCGGCGATTGAATGCAAAAACCATTCCCGATCGTTACCCGTTGCCACACATTCACGATTTGACAGCTACCTTGAAAGGTACAACTGTCTTTTCAAAAATCGACTTGGTTAAAGCGTATAACCAAATTCCCATGGCCACTGACGACATACCGAAAACAGCTATCATAACTCCTTTCGGACTCTATGAATTTTTGCGAATGCCGTTCGGTCTAAGAAACGCTGCGCAAACATTCCAAAGATTCATTGACGACGTCTTTCGAGGTCTCAACTTCGTACATGCGTATGTTGATGACTGCTTAATCGCAAGTCCGGACAGAGAATCACATCTCAAGCATCTGGATCTTGTTTTCGAACGATTACAAAAACATGGCATTACTGTAAACGTTCAGAAATGCCAATTCGGAACCGATTCGTTAGATTTCCTAGGACACACTATCGATGCTCAAGGCATTCGACCTCTTAGGACCAAAGTGGCGGCCATTCTGGATTACCCAGAACCGACCAACGTCAAGCAATTACGCACGTTTAACGGCCTGGTAAGTTTCTATAGACGCTTCATACCGAAATGCGCATTACTTATGAAACCTCTTACTGACCAACTTCGTGGAAATGCGAAATCCATTAATTTGGACGACACCGCACGAAAAGCATTCTCCACAGTTAAGGAACTGATCGCTAAAGCAACAATGCTCGCACATCAGGACACTGAAGCACCCATTAGTATCGCAGTAGACGCATCCGACTCGGCAATCGGAGGAGTCTTACAACAATGGATTAACAACTCCTGGCAACCCTTGGCATTTTTTTCTAGACGGTTGCTAGACACCGAATCGAGATACAGCACATTCGGTAGGGAACTCCTAGCTATGTATTGTGCTGTACGGCATTTTCAACACTATATCGAAGGCCGCGAATTCACTCTATTCACTGACCATAAACCGCTCACTTTCTCGTTAAGCTCTCCTTCTGACAAGTACTCTCCCCGTGAGTCTCGACAACTGGACTACATTTCGCAGTTTACTTCAGATATTCAACATATTTCTGGAGCAAACAATGTAGTTGCAGACGCCTTGTCTCGAATAAATTCCTTGAACAGTTTCCAAGGAATCGACCTTCTTAAACTCTCCCAGCTTCAAAAAGAAGACACTGATCTTCAGCAAGAGTTATCGTCCACAACCCTTAAACTACGCATCAAACAGATGGGAACAGGTAAGGAAACCTTACTTTGTGACACATCTACAGGAAGGGATCGCCCAATCGTCCCGAAACATTATCGACGCAATGTCTTCAACACATTGCACAAACTTTCTCATCCAGGTGTTCGTGCAACCATCAAGCTCATAGCAGAACGCTTTTGCTGGCCTGGTATGAATAAAGACGTGAGGGAGTGGGCACGCTCCTGTGTAAGCTGCCAAAAATCTAAGGTCATCAGACACAATAAATGTCCCTTAGGCTCATTTAAAACTCCCGATGCTCGTTTCGACCATGTTCATCTGGATTTGGTAGGACCTTTACCAGATTCAAATGGATACTCTTACCTCTTAACCTGTGTAGACCGTTTAACTCGATGGCCAGAAGCAGTACCTATCAAGGACATCACTGCTGAAACAGTGGCCCGAACCTTCGTCGAACGATGGGTAGCAAACTTCGGTTGCCCTTCAACCATCACTACAGACCGCGGACGTCAGTTTGAGTCTGAACTTTTCCATCGTCTGACCACACTATTAGGAAGCACTCGCTTCCGAACGACCGCCTACCACCCACAAGCAAACGGGTTGGTAGAACGCTTTCACCGACAACTAAAAGCTTCACTATCAGCTGCAAACGTTTCACAGTGGACCGACGCTCTTCCACTCGTCTTACTATGTATCCGCAATGCAGTGAAAGCTGACATTGGATACACTGCGGTTCAACTCGTCTATAGAACGACACTTCGACTTCCAGGAGAATTCGTGGATCCTTCATCCTCTTCAATGAACATGGATCTAACCTCCCACACAAACAGGCTTACAAACGCAATGCGTTCAGTTAAACCTGCTTCCACTCGACCGCAATCAACCGATGTTTTCTTTTTTTTTTTTTTTTTTTTTTTTTTTTTTTTTTTTGTTCGTCGAGACTCACATCGACGACCATTCAAATCAGCATACGAAGGACCTTTCAAAGTTCTTCAACGCGAACCGAAGTACTATATAATCGATAAGAACGGAACCAACGATAGCATCAGCATCGATCGCCTCAAAGCAGCGTATTTAGAAGGAAATCCTATCTACGTGGATTTTCCTTCGGTACAATTGAACGACACGACTCCGATACTTATAATACCTCATCCGACAACCAACACACACGATGATACTTCGACAGTATCCGAAAATAAACTTAAAACGACACGTTCTGGAAGAAGAGTAAGATTTCCAGAACATTTAAATGACTATTGCACGTAAGGCACTTCTCGACATTTTCTATATTATTAAAAAAAATTTTTTTTAAATAGGCTTATATATTTTCAATTCTATTTTTTAAAAAAAAAACAACAAAAAAAAAACGATTTTTTTAACGCTGTTACGTTTTCATGAGTTTATTTTCCCTTTTTTTTACGCACATACGAGTGTATTTTCGACATGCACTTACATTTTCTTTCTTCTTTTCCAGGACGGCTGGAAAAGAACGATGACGTTTATGAGGATACGAAACTTTCATTGTACATTTCTTTTTTTACTATGTTGTACTCCGGTCCCATATAGTAAGGAAAGACGACCAGACGCTGCTAAATTTAGTAAGCTATCAGAAGAGTGTTTACCAACGACAAACTCGTTGGGTTTAAACTTCTGGCTGGCCACGTCTTAGGGTCATCACTGCCCCACTAGGGGGGGAGTGATCTGTAGCGGTAAATAAATCCCCAAACTAAATAGCTCAATAGGTTTTCGACATTGGATGCTGACCATATGTTTTAGTGGACTCATCTAGCTGAAGGCGCTCGGTCATGCATCCGCACCAGATCACGTGCTGTCACGCTGTGCTCAACAACAATCGCAATCACTAGCCAGATTAGATCAGAGATTCCCGATATATTGGTTATTGCCAAATACACTCTTCCGATCTCCTCGACTCTGTCTTTTGATTTCTCTCGGTGGGAACAAAGCATATTAGAAGGTGTTATTGGTAGAAGCGTTGTCAAACACTGAATACCTGTATCATCCTCAATAATTATTCGTGAATGTTATTTGAAACGAGATTGGACCTCCACAGTATTACAAACTGCAAGGATTAAGATAGGTCGATAGACCTCCTATCTTTATTACTGAAGACTGAAGTCTACAACATGATGTTAAATGTCCAATCATTTGGCTTCAAACTAATGACAAGGATTTGTGGTCGGTTTAAAGGACATCCTAACAACCTAAAGTTTCGGATATCAGTTTGTCCTAATCTCACGCTTATATTATTTCTGATTGTTGTTTATTCCTTTTATCATCAAGTATATCAGTGCTACAAATGGTGATGGAGGTAGGATTCCAAACTCCTCTCCTTCGGAATGGTGCTTCAAGCCAGCACTTAAGATTGCTTCGTTACTACACCCTTCGCGTTTCACATCTGTGTAACATAAGTAAACAGTGTCCACTGAGATATAGAAGAGATATAAAGCGCAACAACAGACTATAGTCAGTGAATACTCGATAAAAGAGGACATGGTGTAACAGCACAAATGAAATTACTCAGTTACTGTGCAAAAAGAAGGCAATGTACAAAGTAGTCTCATACATCATTCCAAAAGCTCAATGTACGCTAGGTTTGCCCATTTTACAACGAACCGTTTACTCTTTTTCGACTAGGAATAAAATGGGATAGATCCCCATTATCAATATCATGCATAATAATTATAACACTGTTTTATGTGAATAACCCTTCAGGGTCGCTTTTGGTCTCAAAGTAGCTCGATGAACTCCAAACGACAGTAATGTAACTTCTTGAATCTTGTTAGGACCAAAAGTGTTAAAAAAGCAGTGAAATTTATTAGGTCTAGGTTTTAGAAGTATGGTTTTTTCTATAACGAAAGTAAGCAAACATTTCAGGTGTTATTGCAGTCTAAACCTTGTATTCATATCCCGTAGTATTGCAAATATCTTACTGGCCCTAATCATTTGAAGGACTTTTTATTCATATATATGCTCATTTACGAAAATAAATAGGATATTACACTATGGGATTTTACGAAAAATCCAACTAACCATATGGCTACAAAGCATTCTTAAAATATAGCTGGTGTCAGTTCATGATGAGAACCCCAACTCAGAATTATAATCCTTAGTTATAGTCCTAGAATGATATTTCATATATATTTCGTGTTTTTTATCAGCTGAATGATCAAAAATCTTTCCACTGTTTTATGACGATTTACTTATTGTTTTATGTTTGCCTGGACTTCAGCGTGTCGTTGAAGATCACTTATAATTCAGCTGTGCCATCTACTCTAAATTCTCACTTTATTAGTATAAACTTTAGAATCCACATGTATTTCTTCGCTAACGTAATAGGCAACATCAGTGCATAAATTCACTTGGTTCCAAACAAACATTTCCTTGTTAATGTATTAGTACCTACTGGAGATAAAATTCAGTAATTATGACCCCTTATAATACCAGAGTTGATGTAAGGTTGCTTTTGGAATATATATCAAGATATTGTTATCTAACCCGTAAATGATACATTAAGAATTGCTCTTACTTGTTTATGATAGTTCACTAAAGTCCTTACATCTTTGAGTAGTCGATGTACTACATTTTATATATCTACTGTATTCAAGTTACAATCATGCTTTTGTTTAATACAATTTCGGATCCCTCTGTAAGTCCGGAAAAGTAGCTGGAATATTACTGTTCTCATACCAGGTCCTACAGTCATTCTGTTCTACATTGTTCTATCTTACATTTGTCTGTCTGTACAAAGGAAACGAAAAGTCAAGTTGAATATATCTTTTCTTCTGTGCAATTATTGGAAACATTGGAGCAATGCCTTAAGGGAAACGAGAGTTATTATAATACTAGAAATGGTAGAGAATCACCTGTATAACAAGCTGCTAACTTATCAATATTCCGTTAAGGGATTAGCATACATGCACTGTTCTATCTCATGCGGTGTTTCACTCCTACGGCTATCTCTGTTATTTAAACAAGTCTCAACTGTCATCATTGTAGGAAATAATTTGTTTGAAAGGGTCTTATATAGAGGACTCAGTCCTGCCGAATTTTTAACGACTGGTGGTAAAAATAACACGAGTTACAAAATAAACAATAAATAGTCAATATATGGCCAGTATGGGGAGTTTACAGACTAACCAAGCCCCAAATATCAATTATGCCTCTCCTAACCTTTTATTACTTATTTTGGTAAAAACTATTGAGATTGCAATCAATTACGACTATTTTTTTGTGAAATAACATCTCGTACTTGAAAGTAAACACATTTACTTTTATTAGAACAGTAACTTATTATTTTCAGTGTTTGTAAGTTTTCAACATACCGAATCGAATAATTCAAAATTTAAACTGCCTATGACTGTTGGGATACAGTTATTCCTGAATAAATTTGGTTCTGTTGAAAACCTAACAAAATCTGTATATACATTTTTCCGTTTATAGTAAAATTTTCGAATTCGTCTGACGTCGGGAAGTAGGTACGTTATGTGATATAGGCATCGCCATCTGTTTTAAAACACTAACAGTAAACTATGTAAGTGCATTTTGCTGATTACCATGTGACCTTATTTTACTCGTGATAAGTTTCTATAATGCTCTTCAATCTTCTTACCAGGCTTACGAAACTGTGTTATTATGAGATCATAGTAAAAGGTTTTTTATTAATCCAATTGACTGTTGGGTTTTTGCATGCATATTTGGAACGATGTGTGTTTCGACAAATTGTTTTTCGTTTACCCTCACATTACCATGTTAACGTAGGATAATTAGAAGTAAAAAAACAGATTAATAACATTTTTCAACAAACATTTCACAAGAACGCCATCTTATAGTGTTTTATTTTAGAATTATATTGTTACACCTATTTCGCTTTTTTCCATTGCAAGCAGGACAACTCAAACATTGATTCACGTCTCATTCTCCGACGGACCAGTATTTCTCAAGCATAAAGAAGTATCAGAGTAACTGTGTTAACTTCAACCATTTAATGAAAGTTCCGTGAGTACAAACATACATGTGGAAAACGTCAGGCGACGAAAGGTCGAAAAAGTCGGATTATGCAACACCTATCAAAGCTCCACACAAATACGAAAAGAGTCATGCTAAGAAACCTCATTTACCAGGGAACCGGTGTAGTGGTGCTCCACTTCAGACACCATCGTCGTCTCACTCCTTTCCTGATGTGGATGATGTCTCACTTACAATACTATCTCATAATAATAAACACTTGAAACAGATTGACAGGACAAAAGCCAGTAATACCGTTCCCAAAACATTGAAAGAAAGTAATAAATCCACACAAGTCATCCATGCAAAGACCCCGACCAGGGAATTATCTCACATCAGCATTAAAAATAAATGCATGACTTCTGGAAATGCTGACAACAGGAAATCAAAGAAAGTATCTAATTGTAATTTGAAAATCCCAAGGTCCTCTTTAAACAGTATGAAGTTCAACTCACCATTTGTAAGAGGATTGGAAGAATTTATAATTACGGATGATGAATCCAAAGTCACAACCCCGTTACGACGTCAGAAAGCTCTTTCCGAAAAACATATTGAAAGGATAGGTAGACCACATGAAGTGATTAGGACTAAGCGATATACTCCTCTTAAACGCTCTATTTTGAATGAGCGCGCTATCCGCAAGAGTCAGCGAAGTCATTCACTTCCATCCCCTGTAGGAATTACTTTTGATTCCACTGAATCTCCTAGTGTGACGAAAATCACAGAGGTAACTGACGTATTCAATAGTTTCAGTTTTCTAGTTCCGTACTCCTGATAGCTTTAATAATTCACTAAAAGAACCCACTTCTTCATCGGAAATCGAAAAGTATCTTGTGAGTGAATTGATTTCACGATTGGTTACATTCCAAGACAGAGCATATATAATCCACGCTAATAACCCCTTTCATCTCAAGAGAACAAAGCGTCTTGTTTGTGGTTTTCATGAAGTAATCAAACACTTAAAGTTAAAACACATGCGAATTGTCTTTGTGGCTCGCGATCTTGAAGGAAATGCTACCAGTTTTTTATGGCAAGATAAAAGTGAGTATTAGTAATTATTCAGTAATACTCTTTAGTCTCTAGTTGTATACACGTTGCTTTAGTTGAGAACTCAACGACTTTTAAGGTCAATGATGTCGAAGAAGGAAAGGTGAATATTTAGGCTCGCCGTGGCCACCTAATTAGATTCATGTTGGACATTTCATGTCTGTATTTTCAGAAAGTTACTGCTAGGTTGTCTGGTTTTTAGTACACAAATAACAACTCTGTACTTCTAGTCCCCTTCAAACCTAAATTTCTCAAACGAAGACCAATAAACACTTATCTTATATGTTATTGTACCTGAATATGGTTTCGCGATCATAGATACTAATGATTAGTTTCTCGCTGGATATTTCTCTAATTACTTGTCGTTAATCTTCTTATTAGATATTCTTCATACCTTTCTAGGCTATGACAACTTATTTGGTGGTGACACGTTTCGCATTGAGTTTGTTCTGAAAGATTTCTAATCTCTTTGACACCTTTTTGACGTCAGTTTGGAATCATGTCACGTCGTGAGGCCAACTCTGCTCTATGTTTGCGAAATCTTGATTACACGAGTAAAATTGTTTTGGTTTGACATGGTATCCAGGCTATGTATGTCGTGATTCATCAGTTGGCAATTTCCCTAGGAATGGGATGTACTTTACACTTAAATGCAAAGTACTTCTACAAGACCAGCAGGAGCTCGTGTTTACACCCACTACTGGTGGCGAACCATTAAAAGTAATCAATTTGTTTGGATGATTGCGTTAGTGCTGATGATGTGAGTGATCAGATCAATTTACATATGGTAAAAGCCAGAATGGCTTATGCTAATCTAGGTCATCTTTGCTGCTGTCATGATGTTAGTATAGCTATAAGAGGGGTTTGCAAAGTCGATGAGGATAGTTCTGCTCTATCATTGGAAAACCTGAGCTGTACAAGTTAAAGATGTTAAGCGACTCTGTGTTCGATCATTGTCTCTGAGGTGCTGTTGATGTTCAGTGACAATGCTGTTGTTTAGTGTTGTTCAAGCGCAGTAGTGATAACTCAATTGGTGTTGCCATCCTGAAACATCGGCCTTCGTAGAGCAGACGTTTTACGAATGTTAACTCGACGGCTGACTGGAAAAAGCGAAGAGGTGGTCATTTCACGATATAGTGCCGGGGTACAAAAGGAAGCTATTTAGGACTGGCGCCTGTCGGTCCTTCACGACTCCTTGGTTAGGGCCCGAGGGACGGTGGGTTTCATTGGCTTGAAACATTATCGGACATTAATCCAAATAGAAACCACTGGTCAGTGTGAAATAGTTTTTCTTTACATTATTCATAAAAATGAAACAGACTTAACCAAGAGGAGTATTATTCAGATGTATTGTTAACTGAACTGTTTCTTCCATTACATAATCATCTTGATTACAGGTAGTTTTTCTCGGCTCTACTGCTTCCGCTTTTCTTTTCTTTACAGTTATATGTTTGTGTTGTGTAGTACATTGTATTGTGCCAACTTATCCCAAATAATGTATTAAGTAAAATAATGGCTTCCGATTCCAACGGGATAATATGTAAATGTATGTTAGTAGAAATAGCGTTTAGTCAGTACAGATTCATATTTAACACTTGCGGTAATCAACCCACGCGAACACACCGCTTCTCTCGAGAGCAAAAGGTTTTATCATGAATTGAATGAAACTAATCGGTATCATTTAGTGACGTTAATGTGTGCTTACTATCCATGGCGTACAGCTTATTGACTAATAACTAGTTGCTCATAGCTGGCATTCTGAAAGTATTTTCAATATTCTGACTAATTCTCTTCAGTAATTTTATATTGGTGGGCTTTTTTTGATCAAATAATCTGTCCTTTTATTATAATTTTTCAGTTACATATGATGAAAAGGAAGCTGAAAATAAGATAGTTCTTAGTGCATTGGAAAAAGTACTCTGTCAGATCTGGGAACTTGCAAAAGAATGTGACCCGCCGGTACCAATAATTATTACCCATACAAGAAAAAAATTAGCACGTTTATGTCATAAACCAAGATTTGTATCTGTTGTAGGGATTATAAACGCCGATGGAGCATATGAGGTTGAAAAAAAGCTGTTAGATATGAAATCTGGAGTTAATTTAAGATGTACAACAAGTCTGGGGACTGATCAAATAAACACAGTGAATGAGCTCACTGTAGGAAACTCAAACGCTACAATTATCGTAAGTACTTTGGTGATACATTTGATTTTCTTTGCCCAGCTCGTGTATGGTAATAGGGTATTCTCTCAACAATAATCATGAATATCTTAATAGTCCTAAAGAAAATTGCCCAGATATCAATATACTTCAATTTCCTCACGTATGTTCACCAAATCCCCAAACCTTCCACAGGTTACCGCTATAGGTTGTATGATAAATTTATCATCGGAATATTCTAGTTGTTTCCCCAAAATTAACTGTAAAACCTAATTAGAGATTTTGACCGGTTTAGGTACCTTCCGAGGTTTTAAACGTCAATCCACTCACTGGGTTTTAACCCTCAGAATAGTTTTACTAGTCCTTAGAAGAAACGATCCTAAGTGTTTTACGCAAGTTTATTTGATATTACTATATCTCGCTATATAGAGTTGTAGTTGGTTGTCTGGAGTGTTCACTTAGTCGCCGATTAACAATTATGAAATTTGGCGAGACGTAAATAATTATTTCTTAACACCAAAGAGAAGGCATAATACCGGGAATAAAGAAAGGATAAACTGTATTGTAACTATCCTATTTAAAATATTTGTTGTTATTGGTTCAAAGCTACACTGCTTAGTATATTTAAATATGAATTCCTGTTGTCATAAGGCTACCACCTTGTCAACTGAGAATTTCCTTTAATTTGGAAACTAGTTAAGTCGATCGAACAGCTTGACTAATATCATATTTGAAACTAACCGATATAATCCTTACAATTCTTCAATATACAGGTTACTAAAGTCTTTACGATAATAGATATCAGTGCAAATACATGTTTTTCGGCCGATTCCAATGAAACAGTTCTACATAACACAACTTTTGAAATTTAGATCTGCGGACCAGAACTCAACACTGTATCAGTAGCTATTCGGCTTCCAGTTTTACTGGAATCGCGATCTTAACTGACATAAAGATTATTAGTAATATATGATAGTCACACATTTTACTGTAGTAGTTTGAACGGATGGTGTAAAAAAAGGCAGTACATCTCAGATGCGGCTCTTATTTGTTCACTGAATATTTTGGTGTTTAACGCAATTGAACGTTAGTCAATTAGTAACAGTTTCTATTTACTTTGAAAAACCTGTTATTATCATTAATCTTCACATAAACAGTGTCGTCAGTAGCCAAGTCAATTAAACCTGCGTATTGTAAGTTTCAGTCTCCATATGAACATGGATTATTTTAGGAGAATTACCCACCAAGTATATATCTTAATATCTATATGCCAATACCTCCGTATAATTACATTTTTACTCCGTGATTTTATTTTCCCAGGAAAAGTTGCGTTGTTCCGTTGAATCTATCAACATTAAGTGATTAGCTTTTGTTTGTAGTCAAATGTTCGTATCTCCCATCACTACCGATGATCGATAAATCCCCTTCTTCCATATTGTACATAGTTTATTTTACTTGTGTATACTTCAGTTGATTTTGTTTCTTCCAAATAAATTGTAAACGACTCTTCCACGTTGATTTTTACTATCGTCTAATAATGCTCAACCCGATTGAACTCAATCATTAAAATAGTTTGTAACTGTAATTACATGCAGCCTGACAATCCACATTCTGATAAACAAAATATGGTTCAATTTCTGCTAACTAAAATTTAAGATTCAAATGTCTAATTTAGCGATGTACAATGTTGTCATATCAGAACGATCAAGATATAAGCCCTAGTTAATCACATAATGTTATACTTTGCACTGAAATACGCACTACGAATGAAACATGATTTTATTGAACGTCAAGTGTATCAACGGGATAAGACGTTACTTTGGTGTTATGTGAAATATTTAAGGACCTACACTTTCCGTTTATTTCATTTCTTAATAATGTAGATTGTAGGTGAGAAGCTGAGTTTCAAATTTATAATACACAATGCCGAACATTGCTGAAACAACATTCAGGTACTGTATCTTCATTTTTATAACCTTATAGGCTGATTTCTGGGGATAACTGTCAATGAACACAAGGTTGTTATTTTGTTTTGCAAAACATGAAGTGTTGGATCTTCACATGTTTATCGTGAGGTGACTACACTTAGAATTATATTTCAGCTTAATTCTTCATGTCAAACGATACCAGTGTCAAGTGCAGTCATTTTTTGCTATCAGAAGATGACTAGGTGCTAAACTGCGGCTTAAACTAAGTGTTACGACCATTCAATGAAGGTCTAATTTCTTCAATGATAGGATGGAGTTGATAACATGTGTTGTATGATTTGTAGAGGCTGGTATTATACCGAGCCCTTATGTTATCCTAGACCAAAGTCTAGGATCAATCTACTCATTCTTCTCAAGCCATATTTTTACCCTGCCAATTATTCGCTTATTAATCCTGACTGATTTTCTGTATGGTCGTATGTGTGTCTAACTCATTTTTCGTCTGGTTATAAATACTGAGTCACGCTTGGGTAAATCGAATCGACTCACTTGTCTTATTTATTGCGCCATTTTGTTTTGTTTTGCTTTCTGATCAACGATTGTGTGGAATACATGTATTCGCAATTCGTTCTCGTATTTGACTTATTTAATTCAGTTATCCATTTAAGTGGATGACTATACACGAGGACCCGTGGAATGTACGTTTCAATAACAAGCAGAAAACCATCTACATGGAGTCAAATTTCGAGCCACTTAAGACTTACTGCTAAATTTCTACTTGATTATTTTCTACCAATCGATGGGACCCGACCGATGTTCCCGTCAAGACATGTTTGTTTATACGTGAATTTCTTGAAACAGATTAATCAAGACACTAAGTTTCAGCTTCACAATTAAACTATAAGCGTTTTTGAAATCAAACAGTACTTCCTAAATTAGTAAACGGTGAATCCCAACGTTCTGATCAAAACGCGATCCTACAACAGTGATGTCTTAGAACCACTCAATGCAAAGTATAAACATATAAAACCCACATTAAAAACCTTTGTTTACACTGTTCTTAGAAAACTGGAAGTAAGGAAATGCAAAGTGGAAATCTGTACCACAAATTAGTATGAATAATAAAAACAGAGTATAACAAGCAAAATACGTAACTTATATTTCAATAACCTAGTCCATACGCATTTTCAAGTCGGAAATCGTGACTGCGTCTTTTTCTCTGGAAAATTAAATAGCAAGAAAAGTATCATAAGTAGTAGACGATGAGACAATCAAATAATGAGATGGTGGAGAAGATTTGTAGCTCAGGTGGATGATTTTGGTGGAGTTTTTTTTCTCTGAGCACGACCAAACCATTCAGCTCAGAGAACAAAACTCCACCACAATCAAATAATGATTTTTTTATTGCCTTCAGAAATCTGAATGATTGGAAAATATTCAAAAGCTATTATACGTACAAACTGCAAGGAATGAGTTTTACAATCCTGAAAGGAAACATATTTCACGAAGATTTAAACTACAAAAATTAGAAGCATAGAGATCTATTTATTACTGTCCCATATGAATAAACACTACTACAGTTCAAGTTACCGTGGCACATAAATTCAAGAAAATATTAGTTGCAAACCACAAAGGCACTCAACGAATCCTTAATTAGCTATAAATTAATGATAAGCAGAATTACATATTTTGATGTGTGACTGTGATAATCTAATTTATTGGCAAACTTGGTGAATAACTAATTAGTAGGATATCTGAAGCTTGACTCTTACAGCCATGCTGATGAATACAATATACTTCCTACTTATTAGGCGTTGAAAATTTTATACATGAGACAGTTATCTGCCAAAAATTACCACTTCCCGAAATCTTGTTCCCTATCAAATACTTTTTTTGGTTTACATTTTTCTCACATTAAATTAACTTACCTATTGGCCCCTACAACATTAACGTAATATAGGTTCTTATGAAAGTGACGTCTTAACCAGTGGATTAAGGGTTAAACTTTTTATTACTTAAATCAATTCTTTCAGCATAGAATCTCAAAGATCCTAAGCTTGAACCCGTAATCTCACACAAAACTAACACTAACATTCTTGTGATCATTTAGCAACAGTACCCTACATGTAGTTATATATGTATATCGTGTTAGTTCACCTGCAGATTTATAATCTAGTTGAATAAAATCCATTTATTAGCCAGTATTAATATGGTTTGATGGGTTTCCTTAGTTCAAACAGACTGAATCCGATCGCAAACACATGGTAAGTAGAAAAGCACGGAAATGGTTAGCCTTACTGCCAGTGATCAAGGTCACTGTCTACATATTTGTTTAAATCACTCCAGTACCATGCATATGTACACATGACTTGGGCAATACTCAATTCATTTTTTGCCTATAAACCTGCTTATGCATAGTTTCCTCACTCCGAAAAGTTGGTTGCAAAAATGATGGGGAAAGTGTATCGTTAACTGAATTAAACCATACAGTTATTCATGATAACTACTGTTTTGTGGAAATTTGTACAATTTTCTGGCTGTGGTTTATTTTATCTTCCTAGATATTCACTAATAACTCGTTTTAGATTTTTATTTGGGAAAACATTTTTAACACCAATAAACTTTTGTACAAATCTGATTTGCAATCGACACCATTTTAGAAATTGTCTTAGCGCCCACAACATTGATGACCAATCTACAGCTTTTCAATATCTGATTAGCATTTAGTGACAACTAAATATTACTTTTATGTTTTAGATATCAAAATTTCGAGGACATGGCTAGTTACATAACAAGTACCTAGTTAAGATTTCAAACCCAGAGTATTAGAGACAACTATTGGGCTTCAAAACTTTTTGTCAGCAGTATGTTAAATATATGTTCAATGAGACCGTGCTTAAAACGAAGAGAAATGTTCTGTATACTGAAAATACTTGCATACAATTTATAACACCAGTTGCAGACAAACTTGATATGAGAATAGTGCATTAACGAAACCATGCGGTCGATTTCAGGTAGATTATCAGGCTGGCTTCAGACTTAGTCGTGGCTGTATCGACCACACATTCACCATTTGTCAGATCCCAGAACATATATATGTTTATCGGTGTCCGACAATGGTGGTCTTTCTTCACAGCATTGGACTTGATAGACCGAGAGGTTTTGTAGCAGTGTTTGTCATTGAAAGGCGTACCTCAGAAGTACATAAACCTTGTAAAGGCTTTTTACTCTAACACTACTAGTGGAGTCAGAGCTTATGGCGAACTGTCATCTGATTTCGCAACCTTGAGTGGTGTCCGACAAGACTGCCGCTACAAATTTGTTTAATTTCATCATAGACCTACTGCTGGAAATAACGCTCTCGTCGTCTGAATTTTCAGGAATTGATCTTCTATTAGGAGATCCACTTATCTACTTAGGATACGCAGATACTATATTCCTGTTTGGTGAAGACGCTGATTAAAAGCAGTCTTTTGATAGCATTGGGCAACAATGCCTGGATGTTTGGGATGCGGTTCCCCCTCTCTTTAAATACAAGTTGTTGCTTCAGGACTGGTCTGCGTCAACACCTGAACTAAGGATAGGGAGTGAAGTAGTCGAACGCGCTGACAACTTCACTTATCTTGAAAGTCTGATCAGCCCTACTGGATTGGTGTCTGACGAAATTTCTGTACGGATTCAAAAGGCTCGTTTGACCTTTCCCAACTTACGTCACTTATGGCGAAGGCGAATATATCTGTCTATTAAAGAACGAGTATACTGTGCAGCAGTCCGTTCTGTTCTACTTTACGGCTTTGAAACGTGCCCATTAAGAGTAAAAGGTACTAGTAAGTTACTAATGTTCGATCACATATGTTTCAAAAATATTATTCGCATTTGCTGAGATCACTGGGTAAGTAAAAGTGAGGTTAGACACAGGGTATTGTGGAATGATGGTAAACCAGTTGATGAGGTTGTGAATCCTCATGGGTTAAGATGGTTGGGCCACGTATTACGCATGCCTGACCACCGAATACGACATCACGCAAAGCTGACTAGTGTTGGAAATGTATGGAAGTTAGGGGCAGCCAAGACAAAACGTGGCATTATTCCATAAATTCGCTAACCTCTGATCTGAAGCATGTTATTAGATGCAGATTACTTGGTTGGGGTTCACACCACTATCGAAACTAGTGGTTGGAGACTCTGGGTGATATGGCTCAGAATCAATCACGGTGAGTAGGTGTACACTTCTCGTCTTCCTTTAAACCGTGAGATTGAAATTTCTTTATGTATTATATCCTTGTACAGAATCTTTCTTTTATTTATTACCACCATCAAAGTAACTACTTCTATGAATTTGGTGTTGGGCTAATGATGTATGGCCAATTGGACCGACGCATATATGTCCCGGGTTTTATGTTGTAGATGACTGGCCGACTGAGATTACCTAAGACATCAAAACATTTTTTGGGAGCTTTTCTAACAACAAGAAATATTAAGTTAGTAAAAATATGATTTACTGACTGACTAATAACTGTTATGTTCGTAGGAAAAATTTAAAACACAATAGCTGATAGCTTTGACCCTATTACAAACCAAATAGAAATTGTCTATGTTTAGTTCTTAAAATTGGCAAACTTGTCTACCGTGTTACCGTAAAGTGAATAAGAGGCATGTAGGCAGAATCACAAAAACATACTTGATCCAGATTTTACTTAAAACGTTAAGTGTTTATTGAGCGTACTTCACGTGATTTAAGGCATAGTTAAAATTGTTTTGTATGGCTAAAAAGTATCTTCCACTCTAACCGTAATTCTAAACAATAACTCTTAACTCTGATTTTCTCAAACCGTACTCCAAACCCCAGCTTTTACCCGTTTACTTTAATCCAGATACTTATGCTCAGCCGTTTCGTTTGTCGTAGTAAAGTAAAAAATTCCTCATGTAAATGTTCACTAGTCATGTCGAAAATGTTTATCTGTTAAAATTTATTACTTTTTACCATGAATCGCCGCGTTACGAAATACTACTCTTTGATTGGTAAGCTGCTCAAGCTCACCAGGATAGTACTTCTTAGTAATAAGTTTAGTATCATTTAAAAAAAAGTAATATGACTTACATTAAATAAACTCGGGCACCCCAACCAGATACAGCGTCGCGATTGAGGGCATTCAGGATGCACTGTGAAATACACTCAAATAACTCTTTCGAATTCTGAAACAAACAACAAGAGAGGTTAGTGCTTGACTTTGACATACACAGTGGTTTCGCCTAAGTTGAAGTCTGCCAATACCGTTTTGATTACACACAATCCTAAGAAATTTTACAAGCGAAGACTTATTAACAGTTGTGCAAAGTCAGTAGTACCGAGTTTTTCAAATCAGAAGCAAAGACGGATGCAGAAGTTTATTCCATATTAAGGCAGGCTGAGACTAATGGGTCAGAAACATTCAGTAGGACAGTAGTCATCGTAACCGGGGATGAATTGTCTGACTAACTGGGATAGCGTTTTTTAATGAACCATTGTAGTACAGATAAATCCCAGACTAATTAGACGAGCGAAAGACTGAGTTTGTTTGACTACAAAGTTCTATGCATCACAATATTTGACGAGATTGGTCCATTTTTTAGCATACCGAGTGAAATCAAGTGACAAACATTTTGCTAGGATGATATAAACAGAAAAAAATACTGAGATAGAAGTGTAGAACCTAGGGTCATATGATTCTGACGGATTGGCACAAAAAGTGAAGATTTCAAAAACGTGCCTAACAAAGTTAACTACAAAACTTGATAATTTAGAGGTATTAGACAATGATTATATAAGTGGTCCTAAAAGCTCAATGTGAATAATTGGTGACTTATGAGGTCAAGCCACTTTATTTTCTTTCGCTCCACGTTAAAACAAGAAGTATATGAAAAGTAGCATTGACAATAACAGTCATACACAATCCATCTTTCTAGATTTATTATATTCTACTTATTCAGTTAACCGTGCAAAGCGTATGCGTAGCTTAGACGCATCCATACGTGTGACTGGAGAGTAAATCGTGATGCGCAAGAAGATGGAATTAATTCATAACTCGTCACCAAAATACACTGACTCAAGTAGCCATATAACGTAAGACCACAGGATGAGAATAAATACAATAAAATAGACAGAGATACTGTTTAAGAAGTTAAGTTTGCTCAAGTCTAGACACTACTCGCTGTTTTGAACCGAAACGTCATATCATGCATTGTGTAACAAAATGGGAGTTAAATACCTACAAAATAATACGGTCAACAAAATGTGTTTAATGCGGATAAAACATTTACACTACAGTGAGCATGTTCAAAACTAGAATATGAGATAACTTACCATATTATCCTCCCAAAGTGTTTCACACATCCCATACATTTGTTCTGTACACGTGCCGCTAACAACAAAATCGTTGGCCTCACACACACAGCCGATTAGGTCCATGCATGCAACGTATGGTTTGTTCGTAGTATGGTCAATACCAGCAACTACTGGCTCGACAAAGTATGGTCCAAACCTACACCTTTAACTTTATAAGTAACATTACCTGCGCTCGTAAAGCAAGTTGGATAACATGGTAGTTATAGTTTGAGGTTTGATTGTCCTATTCTCACGTAGCTCGTACATGTTTTTTCGGAAAAGCAAACGCTGAAACCTGGTGGACAACATTAATGAATTTTTAATGCTTACACTGTCTGATTATCAGTTGCCAATCCAGGAAACCCTACGTACAACCGAGGTCCGAGAGGATAAACTTTGGTGAAGTCAGTGGAAATTGTCTGCAAATTAACTCCAAACCTAAGATCACAAGCGATAGCTGCGCAATCTTTGCCAGACATTGCAATGACAGCAGACCCATTGTGTGCTAAGATACTCTTTGAAAATATCACGAAACGAAATGTTGATTACCATTATGAATATTAAAAGGCTTCGTTATTGAAAAGATTGTGAGCCTATTTACTTGAAATCACAGTTCAACCCCACGGACAATACACTAAGCTCACAAATAGAATATGCCCACCTTTAGTCTGCCCTTCAAACTACCGTAGTAAAACGAATCATGAATAAGTAGTGTTTAGTCTTTGTTGAGCCCATTAAATATTTAGCCTTTAGCGTTTGATTTAGGAATAATTTAATTGCTGATAGAACCTGCAATGCAGAATGAACAAGGAAGGCCAACAAGTCAAGGGACAGAGAAAAAAGTGAGTTGACAACCTTTAAGCGCTTAAAATGCATACACTACAAGAATAAGAAATGAAAAGGCACTAGACAATAAAATCTACCACTGTAGACTGAAATTTGACGGCATAATGTTTCGATTACGTTGAATCATCTGGATTTGAATTTATCAGCATCTGATTTTAAGAAACTGATTCCAACTGTTCTATAAAATCAACAAGGTGCCTACTTTACTTTGGCAACATGACATGATAATAGAAGCTAGGCATTTACAGTGGGGAGTGATTTCACCATAAATCAAGATCCCACATAACTCTCAGTTAACGTAGGTAAACGTATCACCCAAGTAGGTGAGCGGCAGAAGAGGTAGCAATTGTTTTGATCCTTCAGAAGCAAAAGATGTCATGGTCATTTATTTACGCACGCTATGCAAAAGAGGAGTTTATTCTGACAACGACGGTCAGGACGTTAAGCCAGGGGTTTTTGCGTACATTTTACATGCTGTGGAAGACATTGTTTTTTGTTATTTATCAAGTATTAACAGCAATTTTTCCTTCCTATGTCAATTTTCGTAATGTTTGTGTTTGGTTCATAGCTTTTACTCCAGTTTATTAGTAGTTTGACGTACCTGTTCATCACAACCTGGGTGAATATTTAAATGGTTCAAATGGTTTAAATGGTTGTGGACGGAATGGAAGAAGCTTTCGCTTAACAGGCTTCCGTGTCTAGTAGCAGGGGATCACCGAATCATCCAGGCAGGAACCTAGGTATGTTAACAATAAAAGAAGAAAAGAAATTGGTAAATCATAGTGTGATACTGTCCTTGGTCCTTAAGTATAGTTCAAGTTGCCTCTTGAAGTACTCCTGAGAAGTCGCTTGGATTAGCTCGGCCGGCAGCGAATTCCAGCATTTGACAACTCTTAAAGAGTAGAAGTTGTGCCGACATTCCGTCTCGCTATGCTGAGTTTCCAGTTTCTGGGTGTTACTCCTTAGGTTATTATTCGAACTAAGATTAAGTAGGTGTTTAAGAGGATGTCCAGAAGTGTTAAGAATACTATAAGCCATTAATAAATCACCTCTAAGACGCCTATACTCTAATAGTTAAATGTCTAGTGAATGGAGGCGTTCTTCGTAAGGCTTAGATTTGAGTCCTCGAACTGATTCCGTGGCTCGCCGTTGGATAGTCAGCCTAATATGGTTATATGTAACAATGGAAATCCAAGCAAGTGAAATTCACCATTTACCAAGTAAAAATTAGACCGCAAACAGAGTTTAATGGAAAAATGAGCTCTAAGAACTTCTGTATTTTATCCACTTCCCTTATTATGATTGTGATGAATATGGATGTTGTTAGTTGTTTATTAAATGTAGGTTGAATTAAGTGAGCGTTAAACTATTTGTGAATGTTATATAAATTGTTAACATATAGCCATAGAGAATTCTATCCATTATAAGTATCATCCGTTCTGGCCGAACTGATATAATACTGTGTACCATATCTGCGAAAGAAAAAAATTATGGATAACAATTGACGTTGATAGTCTTTTCTGCCCGCTTTATGAACATATTCAAGTATTGTGTGTTGCAGACATTAAATCCCCAGAACTCACTTGGGAAAAGACCTAATTTTGTAATTTTATTTAGAAAATTTGAATTTCTTTGTTTTCGCGTTAAAAGCGCTTTTGTCACTTTGTTACAAGAGAAATGAAGAAATTTGGCGGATTAAAACCTTTTTATTGTATATTATTAAGTTACTGTGCTTTTGGATGTATCTGTTTTACTTTACTTTTGAACTTGTTTGTTTATATCATTATTTCGGATGTTTTGGTTTTCGTTTGTAGTTGGTTTGGTATTTGGTAGTTTTGCTCCGGGAACCTACAAAATTGAAGGTTTGTTTTGTAACTGTTATTATTATTGTTATTAGAATGACATTCAGGTAGACTATTTGTAAATCGCGAATAAACTTTGTATCTAAATTGGAATTCGGTTCTACTGTTAATTTGGGTTCATGAATTGTAAATAGATCGATATACCGTACTTCAATAAAGGGAACGAGCAAAAACTTGGACGTGACAACCTTCATGTCGTATTTCACACTGGGACATACCTTAAATGCTATTGGTGTGCCGCGTCTTTTAGTATGATATTTGATAACTCTCCCCAAGGACGGTTTTGAATTGTATATATACGTTTTGAATTGTGTTTGTAGTTAGAGCTCGTTTCTGGCTGTTTGTTGCATATACTTCATATTCCAAGCTTGAATTTCTCCCTTTAGTTAGCGGGTTTGGGATGTATCAATAGCTAGCTTATTGGTCTTTGGTCACAGAACCTTGTTTCTCGTCCACAGATTAAGTGAACTCGCGATCGCTTCAACCCTAGCATTGTGTATAACATTACTGTTAGTGCCACATAAATTAGTCACATATTCTCATTTCTAAACCATGTTCTAATGCATGTTGACGAGTAATATTTAAATGGCACTTACCAGTTTTTTTGTTAACATCAAAATACTAGGTGAAATTCTAGAAGTTTTGGAAAGTGAAGAGCACTGCCAACAAGACAACGTATCTGTAAATAAATCCCCAAAATAAAACCAAAGTTTTAATGGACTCATCCAGCTGAAGGCGCTCGGTCATGCATCCGCACCAGAACATGTGTGGGAACGCTGTGCTCAACATATACTGCAATCGCCAGCCAGATTAGATCAGGCGATTCTCGATATATTGACAATCAACATATATACCGTCCGATCTCCTCGATTCTGTCTTTTGATTTCTCTTGGTGGATACGAGTTATATTAGAAGGTGTTACTGGTTAAAGCGTATTCAAACACTGAATGCCTGTGCCATCTTCAACACTTATCCTGTCGGCTGCTATTGCATATAATTATCGAATTTTATACTGATAACGAAGTTTAACATTCTTTTTTAACGACTGATTCCTTGTTTTTAAAAATTGAATGAAGCTGGAAGTACGTCATATGTTACTGATATTCAACTATTGTCTTCCGTCAGCTAATTGAAAGGCCCAAACTTTTATAATAATCATGTCTATGCCAGTGAACAACTTAGCGAATTTATATATATGGAGAATTATATGAAGAAACAACATACATTTTGACGATTACTGTGTTTCGGCTTCGAAGAACATGTGGTTAATAAACAATTCCACTGCAAGTATCCATTCAAATATATTATCACAGTAAAGAAACTTATATATACAGCACAACATTCTGGTGAAGCGTCTAAATCGATGCAGTACTACAGGTTTTCCTAGCGAAACGGGTACTTGTAAAGCAGGCGTATCGTGGTTTCCAATTTTCACAAGTAGTTACCAGTTGAAAATATCGGTATATCTAACCATGAAACTATGAAGACTAAATTAAAAATTGTGCAAAAGTCTATTGATGGAACATTACTACAACATTTGATGCAGAAGAACCAGTTTACAAGTTGTATATATAGTTTAGTTAAAAATACTACTACGAAGAACTTCTTATAGTAAACAGTTCCTGTCACATCTCCACACTGTTGTATTTCGATCCATATTTTCTATCGTGAAGAATACTACACAAAGACAATTGTTATAGAAACCACATTATTGTCTACTTATTGATGATTCTTAAGTACAAATTGACTTCCCTGAATCTACACATTCTGTTTGTTTCGTCTGAATGGTGAAATTGTTGTTATTATGGAAGGTGTAAGTGTTATCTATCTTCCATCGACTGCAATGTTTAAGAACATGATGAACTATACAGTTTATATTTTTTTATTGATCGAGCTTACTCGTAAGAGTTCATCTTCTTATGTAAGCCAGATGCATAGGACGGTCTGAACACCGGTTTGTCCCAGTTTATCCACGACTCAGGTAACATTTGCACGCAATACGTTTTTCAGGCGAACAGAACAGGACCAAAATTTACCCAGACCGCACGAAATGTCCTTTAAAATTGGGAGATTGGGAAGTTATGAAGCAACAATCGATCCGACATGTGCACTAAGAGATGTCCATCGAAATGATTTTGTGTTTTAGATGCAGCAAAAGACCACCTTAATAAGAGGACACATGATATCCATACAGACAAACGGACTCTCATAGAACCCTCAGCATTTGAAATACAGAATGACCGCCTCTTGTGAAAGAGTTCAAGGTCGTTACACCGGATCTGCGTGCAGCTTTAAAAGGGTCTGATGTTATTAATGTGCCCTTGAAGTCACCAACTTCTGATCTGAAGCATGTTAGTAGATGCAGATTACTTGGTTGGGGTTCAAACCACTATCGAAACTAGTGGTTGGAGACTCTGGGTGATATGGCTCAGAATCAATCACGGTGAGTAGGTGTACACTTCTCGTCTTCCTTTAAACCGTGAGATTGAAATTTCTTTATGTATTATATCCTTATACAGAATCTTTCTCTTATTTATTACCACCATCAAAGTAACTACTTCTATGAATTTGGTGTTGGGCTAATGAGGTATGGCCAATTGGACCGACGCATATATGTGCCGGGTCCTATGTTGTAGATGACTGACTGTTACAATATAAATGGTATATCAAATAACAAAATGATCGAGATTATTATGAAATGAATGTTATTTGTAAGCCGCTCTTTGCGATAACATACACAAATCAGTTTACTTGATTAACGAAGGTTCCTCTACACCTGGTGGCACCAACGGCATAGTGAGGATTAATCTATTAGCTAGTACTATTTGATAACAATCCGCGGCAGGACTTCAACTTAGTGTAGGATAGACTAAAATAATGTAATAGAACTATAGTGACTTTCAATGAAAGGCTGTGGCCAACAAAGCAGAAGAGCGGACGGCTGAGATAGCGTTTATTTCTCAACAATC